CCGTGTTACTCTGCCACGCCGTGTTACTCTGCCACACCGTGTTACTCTGCTACACCGTGTTACTCTGCCACGCCGTGTTGCTCTGCCACACTGTGTTACTCTGCTACACCGTGTATATCTGGATATGTATGCATATGTATGTATATGGATATGTATGCATATGTATGTATATGGATATGCATGCATATGTGTGTATATGGATATGTATGTATATTCAGATGTATGCATATGTATAAGAACATTATATCCCCATATAATAGATCTCACCGTCTCGTGGTCATCTCTGTTGAAGATGACGCAGGGAAGGTTCGCCGTGGTATCGATCTGGGCATTAACGAGCGTGTCGTTCTTCCCTCTAGGGCAACAAAATAAGAAGAGTTAAATGTAGCACCCCGGTTACATCATTGATGCAGTATTCTATCAGTGTATTTGGAAAAAAATAATGTTATATAGAAGTAGAAAGTGCCTTTTCTTAATATACATGCAACAGTTTACCTAATTGTTATAAGAGGAAAGAAATTAAATATAGTAGAAAATTCCATGGATAAAAAATAAATTAAGAAAAGGTAATGAACTTTGCTCTAAAAAATTACCTAAAACTAATACTCTGACGCAAAATCCTTCTTAAACAATATAAATAGTTTGCACTATTTCTCATATCATACAAATATTACACACACACATCGCACCTTAATAAATTGCTATATGTATGGGGTAAATATTCTATTTCTCCGGAAACAGCTGAAGAAAGCTGAAGGTTTTCATTTTTATATGCATTTTTGAATTATTAATTTAATATTATATTTCCACGGTGTAGGAATTACATTGCTTTTATTCGAGCCCCGTTAACAGTATCAAAGTAATAATGCTATTAAACTGAGAAGGGAAGAAATAACATAAGTATTGGCCATTGATCAGATTTGTTCTGCAGGTTAATAAATAATACACGTTTGCATCACTTGGAACCTGAAAATTGATCTGTGCAAAAACTAATGTCAGTTCGACAAATTTATTATTTCCAACGAAGATGGTCATCAGTGTTTCATGCTTTGGGAAATTTGAGGAAACACGGCAAGTAGCTGACATTTTTTCAAGTTTAAAACGACGAACTATCTCGAAATAGAACTTTTGACGAACTATTTATTGCATGCACTTGCATTACTCACCCAAAATATGCCTTTGACTTCCGAACCGTTGGTTCTTCAACCCAAGGGCCGACCAAAAGATTAGGGTTTTTAAGACCCGCTGGGTTCTCTGGCAGCGAAGGGTCTACGGTCGTCGTGGCGGCTCCTCCGTCAAAGTCGTACTCGACCCAATGGCCACCATCACCAAGCTTACTTTTATTCTGCTTTTTCCATCGGGATCGAGAGGCTGATGGGTTTTGTAGCTTTAAATGTACATTTTTATGTTCATCTATTGAATTTAATTCTTGACCGGCAGAGACTTGGGATTGACCATGACTAGCGATAGACGAATCAGCAGCAGGTGTTATATATCCTCCATCATCAATTATCTTCGAATTTTTAAAGAAACTTGCCGAATCGTTATTCGTTTCCGGAATGTGTTGCAATTCAAATGCTTCATCAGAGTTCATGCTACGACCTTCGTTAAGTTTATGATCTGAGTTCATCGCACTCTTTATTCCATGCGAACTCACCCCTTGCGATGCCCCGGACATATTTTGGGAAAAAGCGTTTTCGTCGATGATACTTTCAATTACCTCGGAATTTTCATCAGAGCTTATTGACAACTTGCGCTCTTGTTTAGGTTTCTTTGACATCGGTTGATCGTTAGATGGCAATTCTGATTTTTGGTCATCATACAGAGACGCTTCCGCATCTGCTTGTGATCTTTTTCTCAAAGGCCCCTGGCCTGCAAAGTCAACGACGTCCATAAAACTTCTGCCATTGGATGAGAAAAAGTTTTCTTTTAAGTGCCGGAACTTGCCATCATCATTACCTGTTGAGAAATGTTTGAATTAGTGAAATATATCAAGTTGTATCAAATATCCGAGTTTGCAATCATTTCATTTTAAATTACATTCTGAGAAATGAAATTTTTAGCCCTGTTGTTTGCGCTCGATTGAACTCAGATGAAACGTATGATACCAATAAAAAATTGTAAATTAAACAAAAACAATTAGTTCATCCAGAATAAAAATACGACCAACTAAAGATTTATTAAATAGGTCATGATATTTCTCCAATGATATGAACATTAATAAGCCAATGAAGAAATCCGTAAAATACATTTTGATAGTAAAGTATTTTTTAAGGGAGATTTTTGAATTGAATTTATTGTTGCATATCTACACCTCAATTAATATTGTAATAACTGTGCTAAGGAAAGAAAAGAAATGAGTCTCGATAAAATTTTCGAAACTGTCTCAAGAGCCTTCACCATTTGAATGCGAACTGAGATTACCTTCATCGTTTGGAATTTTTCTTCCCAGGAACAGAAAAAAATTTCATCAGATTTTTTTCTTCATTAACAAATCAAGTGATTGACCTCTATAAATTTCAGGCATCAGTCAATGGGCGAACATAAATATTTTGTTTCGTTTTCAAAATTATATGGTTTCAGGAGAATTTATAAAACATTCCCCAATTCAATAGAGTTGCTAATCACATTAACAAGTTTTCCCAGCGTCGATGTTAGATTTTGATTGTAGTGTTGATCAATTACTCAATTGGTATCTGCCTGATAATTTGAGTAATTATATACTCGTATTATTGTGAATAACAATTACTGTTAAACGACAATGTAATCAACACTCGGTTTCTGATCTGAATAATCGATACAAATTATTGATTATCCAAGATGAAATTTTACGTCGAGCATGTATCCAAATTTGTGTTAACTTGCAATATTTCTAAAAATTCAGCAAGCGCCAGATAATTGGCACACTGGCTTCCATGCTTAAAATAATCGGTAGCCAATTTATGCATGGTATCTATCAGAGCTTTGATGAGTTGGAAATTTTACGATCAAAGATGGTTGCTGCGTTATCGTAGTGAAGCATTTTTCATGTGATTTTATTAATATGTTATGATTACTAATTTAAGCATATTAGGCTTTTGAACATGTGCTAACTAATATAATTGTGTGTAGAGCTTTGAGATTTCCTGCGTTTGAAGAAGGAGGTTGTGATGACTTTGTTCCTCTCAAAAATACTTGAAAAGTAGGACCATGTATGGTCCACGGTTTCCTAATAGTTAAGGATAATAGCCGTTTATTTGATTTCTGTATGTCCCGTTTAATTGTTGAATATGATATACATCCAAATTAGCATTCATGTATTCGATAAAATCTATCTTTCAAATGAACTCACGTTCAAATTTGCAAGAGAACGCCTTGGCGTTAATTTCCTCTAGTCAGGCCATATGATGAAAATTACATTGATCTTCATCATCTCACGAGCGAAGTTTTCAAATTATGTATTATGGACTTGCGTAATCGACTAACCTTAGGTAACAATGTTAAAATTAGATTAATATAATTCTGTTTTAAAAGAATACTGGCAGATCGAAACAGCTCATACTGAATCGTATTTTGAAACCATATGATATATTCCTATGATTAACCAGCAACGACATCGAAATTTAGGATTGTCGTGTTATAGTAATAAGAAAAGCTTTCTGTCAGGCCAGAAAGTTAAATCAATTGCACAGAAAGTTAAATCAAATACGCAATTTCGAGTTATTACTATTTTAAGAGAGCTCGTTAAATGCTATCAAATAAGGAGACCCTTGTCTCAGGAAACTTTTATTTCAGCGCATATGTTGGGAATCTATATTAAATATCAGGCACTCTCTTTAAATTAATGTCTGTCAATTCATTACACAAAATTTATATTGGAGAAAGCCAATTAAAAAAACTTCATCTCTTGAATTGGAGAATTTTCTGAAATTAGTCAACGTTTCCCCCGAACAAATAGTTGGAAAGTATGTGAAGTCCCAAACCGGAGGCACCACATTCTATTAATTGGAACGTAATGTTACTTAATTATATAAAAAACAGCATTCTCCTCGAGGTGTTACAATTTCCTGAAGCCTTCTCAAAATTCCCTCCACGTCTCTGGTACAGATCTTCTCCGTATTCTTTGTTCTCAGTCAATCCTGTTTCCAGACTTGCTGGAAAAGTTCGCTCTTTGTCCAAGGTCACGTCGCTCGCAAAACCAAGCTCGAGTGTTTCTTCTCTTCCTTATAGAGTGCGATGCCCACGAGTGAGCAGCCTTAGTACCAACAATTTAAGCGTTGGGCTTGGCCACCATTGTTGCCAACGACGCAATTTTGCACGGGCAACTAAGCGTCTCTCACGCGAGCGTCTTCAAGAAGAACCGTGGTAAAATAATCGTTGAACTGTGGTAAAAACCTTGATTAATCACCTTGCTACAACAGATGTCTATAACTAAATTAATACTGTCCGTGGCTCAGTACAATATCCTGTCCAAAATTCAGCATATTTGTATTTCGTATCCTTACCAATCACTCCTTTAATGGCTCAGACGCTGCCAAAGACAGGCCGACTATAGGGCATGTCAACTTGTATTTGGATTTTATTCCGAATATTGTTTGAATTAATTATTAAGCATTTCAGACAGTTTTAGTCAAAGAAGTCATTCAGAATTTCTTGTTTGCTTCTATTTCACTTGAATTAGACGATTGTGCGGCACTTGAAAATCAATCAACGTCTTCGGCCAAAGAAATCCACATCAGCTTGAGTCTTGACTTGACGTGAAAAAATTACAATTGAAATTGAATTTAAACGTGAGTTGTAAAGTAAAACCAACGCTGAGAAATGGTAGCCGCGACCTTGATGTAAATTAAATCGCGTTTGTCATCATTTCATAAGAATCGATGGTGCCACACCGATAGGAGTCATAAGAGACAGCTTTTAATTGCGTCGACCTGTAATAAACTACACGCATTTACACCTTTAAACCTGGTCGTGTGAACCTCCAAGCTAGAGTGCAGCACATTATGTCCGAGCAATTGTCCATATTAAAATACCTTTGATCTTTTCACTAACTGAGCGTCGCTTATTAATGCAGAAGTTTCTATAGTCATGGTGAGAAGAGAAATTTGAAAAAAAACTTTAGCTAATCGGAAATAAAAGAATTAAAGCGAACATTTTTGTCTTTAATATGAAACTGGTCAGGCTAAACGCTCGACAATACTTTAGAATATAATTGAAAGATTGCTGATGGTATTTAATTGGCAGAGCTTTGGTGAAATAAATAAACTTTCGATGCAGCTTTTTGCTTGTTAGATTAACATAAACTGTTACACTACATAAGCTCTCACTTCGTCTGTTTTATCGAGCCCCCAATAGATCCTTTTATTATGGATATTCTGCTTTTGTGCCGAAGAGACATAGAAAGAAAAAGACGTTTCGCTTTGCTCGGGAGAGACCTTTGAACTATTTGTAACGAGATTTATTTCACTTAGAGGTTATTCGGTCCACTGTGACGCGCGTCAAGCATAAGATACGTCCGAAAAAAAGGTGATATTGCGTTGTTGTAATGCAAAACGCGTCCCAGTTATTATATTTGTTTCTAGCATCCCTGCGTGAGGCATTGAGAATTGTTGGAACTGCTACACCGTACGCAGGCTCGACTTTCTTACCCATCTGCTTCAAAATTAACAAGAAACTATGTTAATCTGTAATTAGTTTTACAAACAAGCAAAATGCAGATGCTAGTTAAATCTTAGCACAGATTGAAGTAATACGGAATAATCTATACATTTTTTATTCGCATTTCCCGTCGTAATAATACGCTAAAACAAAAGAACAGCTTAACGGGATTCCTTTAAGCAAAATTTCTTTTATCAAATGATGAATTTCAAATAACCGAATTTGGTGCTACAATATTATTAGCATTTGATTTAATTCTAGAAAATTGTCGTTAAATCCTTCAATTCACATCTCTCCCTCACTGCGCCTCTGTTTTCTATCACTATGAGGTCATTGCTAGAATAATGCTTGATTCATAGATATAAATTTTTCTATATAAATATCATTTATATAAGATAACACTTATTACCATAACGTCATTTGCTCCCGAAAAAAATTCCATGGTTAGATTAGTTATAGTTGGAGATAGATTGCAAACTCAAGTTGAATTTCATGTGTCTGTAAAGTTTTTTTATTTTGGTATCAGAGTTGAAATAAAATAATGTCAAACTGCCTCTTTTTTAATTTAAGTTGAACTTTTAAATTTGCATGTGCCCCATGATCTAATAGATATAATAAGAAACTAAGTCTAAGTAAGAATTTGTGGGCTGATGGAATACTCGTACTTCTCGCTCTCATCTAATAGACTTTTCGTCAGTCAAGCTGTTCGAGAACCAGCATTTTAAATTAGGGGTATTGACATCCTCTCTGCTTACAAGTTAATGGTGAATTTTGCTTCTGCAGATAATGTTAAAACATCTCCCATTCAATTTGGGGAAAATAAAGATGCTTTTATTCGGTCAAAGTATAGAACCCTGTATAAATAACAGATCTTTACAAGTTACACAAGTATAAATACATAGAAAACAATTATAAACAGTATATTAACCATTTCAGCTATTAATTAAACAAAGTAATTAGTACGGGATGACAGTTGCCACACCTAAGTACTCACTCTAGAAAAAAGTTTTGATGGAATGAATAAAAATATTAAAAGATGGAAGAAGTTGACTAATGTCGTGTTCATTGTGGTGACGTTCATACATAAACAAATCTTATTTTTACAATTAAATCAAATTCTAAATTTCTAAATATTTTTATTATATTAATTCAAAACCTTGAACGAAACCGCTAAATGTAAAATAACGACTTGATCGGATTGGATATCCCAAAAATGCTTCAGTGTCGTTATTATTATAATTAATATTACTATTATCTAAAAAATAATTTTAATAAAATTTTATTATTTCCATTATTATTTATACATATATAATTGGGCTATTTATTAATCATTCTGTTTTCATGTTACAAAGGGTGCATATTAAGGTGTTAGAACAAGAATAGAGAACATTTTAATACACATATTCATAAAGGCCTTCAGGGTATTCCGCTGCAGCAATAACCATGATATATAATTTGATAATATTCAAATAGTAAAATCTACGAATGAGGTCTTCATAGAGCATCAAAACTAATGTAGACAATCCAAAATAATGCAAAAAAAATTCCAAGGCATTCCTTAGTCTCAACTAACACGAAGTTTACAGATCATAAATATTTAATCAGATTATATCTTGAATAAATGTTTCGATCGTGCTATAATAAATTTGAAAGACTTCTATTATTCACCTCGCTGATGTACATAATAGATGTTATATTGATCGAAAATATACGAAAAATGATACTATATTGATGGAAAATATATTGAAATGAAACGAAATGAACCTCATTTTGGTTCAGCATGTCACCATCTTGCAATAAAATTCCACAATATGAATCTATAAGGATGCATATCGAAACTTATATATCACTCAGAGTGTCTGTAGGCTTCCTGACACGTCTAACTGCAACATAGAACCATCTGGGCCAGCTACGCGTCAGTTCTGCGCTGTGGCCGTTAGTTTCATGAAAGATGCATGGAAACTGTCGGTGCACTCGCCTTCATGGTCGTATAAAAACTTTTAAGCTTGAAAAGAAGCGTTTCTGCGGAATAAGTTGTGTTGCCTTCACGGAGTTGCTTTTCTTGAAGTTCCGGACCATCAACAGATAACCGGAGGCAAAAGCCAGTACCTTTGCCTCTTCGAACAGAAAACTCGAGTACAAAATATGTTTCATTTCGTAAAATTCTTGAATTTAATATCTGAAATCTGCAACAGTGCTGTAGATCAGACAAAATTCAGTGTTCTAAGAAATTTTATGCTGAGTGTTATTTACCTTCAAGGGTGATTGATTTGTGAATTTATTAAAACAAAATTGTAGTGATCATAGAATGAATTTTGTTCCAAGTGAAGATTGGAAATGACTGAGAATTCGTAACTGGAAATATAAATACTATTTCCCGAAGTATTTTCAATTGACAAAATTGAAATAACCATTCCTTTTTTTGCGATGAAAGAAACGGTTATATTTTACCTATTTGAAACACACAGCATTTGCACCTATATGAAACTGAGTAGGTCTGTCAAGTTAGATTACTCATTCGATAAATGCTAAGCAAATATGCGGAAGGTTTTTTTCCCTAATAGCAATACTATACACTATCTCCATTATGGGTGTTGATTCGGCACTACTGCAATTTGTAGTTAGATTTGTAGCCCTATTAAATCAAATTTTAAGGTCTAACTTGAGAGGGACAGCCTATGAAATTTTGTCGGTAGTGTTAGATAGCAATTTTATTAGAAGAAAAATAAGATTTGACGAGGAAGAATCTCGTGCTTTTTTCGATTTACAAATTTCCTGCACATATACAAAATTTGGTGGGCAAATCTATATTTTTTCATTTCTAATGTACTGTGATGCAGCAGCCAGCCTTTTATGCAACTTTCCTAATTCTTTGATTCACAATACATCAATCAATCAATATTATTCCTCATATCTCACATTTATTCTCTAATGCCTATAATTATTTAGCTTACAGTTGCGTACGCAATATTCTTCGAGCTTCAAAACGTCTGTTCGATCTGGAACGTAATACCAAGAATTACTTGACAACTCTTTACGGGTTACTTCCAGGTGTGAGGTCATTGAGTACGAACACAATTACTAGGCACGTGATGGAATAAATTTGAAAGAACACATTCACCCCATTGATTGACAATTTTTCTGTACTAATTGAATACAAATTATATCTTCTTAATAAGGCCTATGCTCTTGAATTTAACCCTTAATACGAATAATCAATTCATAATTTGCTACAAATATTCAAACATTTTTCAAGCTTCAACCGTGAACTTCAATTTTAAATAGTAAAATTACAAGTTGGATTGAAAAAAAATTTGTCTGCATTAATATCTGGAATTAAAATTCACTATTCAAACACTAAGCTGTCAGCTGCTAACTATTTACTTATTGCTTCTAGTATATGAGGCGAGGTGATGATATTCATGATATTAAGATAACATGACACATTTAACATGAAGATGTACAGGATTCAAATTTCCGTTCAACTGTCATATGATTGAGAATTGAAATTAAATACAGTGAAATTATTTCTTCTCATATTTCGCTCATCTAAATGGTTATTTATAAAATTTTAACCTCAACGAATCTATTAATTTACTACCCAATTGAATTTTAAAATGGTACTGTCTATATAGATAGCTTTATTTTCATCGAGTTATCGAGTTGACCAGATTGATATCGTGTGGCGTCTCCGTCAATTCGAATATTTAAATAAAATTCAACTCCAAATGTTGCCCCAAGATATATAACTCTTCGACGCCCAAGAAAACCAATATTATTCACCTCATTAAAATAGTAGCCCCCACTGATTTGTGGCGTCAAATTATCGAAAAAAATTACCGCCAATCGTTTAGCTGCCGATTCTCTAAGTGATGAGTTGCGCTAATAATGAGATAAATGAGATAATAAAGGCTCTTCTTAATGGGGCAGCAGACCTTTTGCCGATATGACCTGATATTGACAAACTCTCATGCTGCTCTTAATCAGCATTAAAAGTAACTACATTATAATACTGAAAATAGGCACACTGCGCACACTAAGCACTGCGCGGTAGGCAGTTGTCAATTTTATCATTGATTTCTTATTATCATATATCTTTGGCATGTAGAAATCGCTATTGATGAAATTAATAAATCATGTCAATATTCGCCATTAACAAATCTGTTTTAAAAAAGTTACGACTTTCAAATGAGCTACATTTCCATAATGACTCATACATATACTCTTCTATGATTTAAAAAAGCTACAACACAATTATGATAGATCATATCGGCAATGCTAGGTAATATTTATGCATTCTTCGTAATTCATATTTTCACCCTCGTCGGATTTGATGGTAACGACAGCATAATAGGAGCGACGCTTGTATTGACCTCTTACTCCATAAAACCAGTGAATTTTTTAGTTTGTAATTAATCGTTGCTATAATGAAAAGGAATTGGGAAAATATTGAGTTATATTATAAGTAGATCAAGGCACTTTTAGGAAAAGCAGTGTAAAAAATCATTATAATCACCTGTTCAACAACAAAGTCTACGGTAATTAGTCATGAGATTTAGTTTACTTCAGATTAGATTTAAAAAAAATAGTAAACCAATGTATGTGGATCTCTTTACATACAATGTTTAAAAAAATTTTGTATACTGAACCATTCAACTTTTTTAATTAATTTTTTTATTTTTTTTAGCTTGTGTCGTGGCGCAATTTAACGCATCAGACTACAGGGAATTCGACTCTTTTAAACGCGCACCTGAGAATTCGCTTTGAACAAATTGCCTGACAATCATTCTCTAAAAACACGCATTCGGGACAAGTGGGATTGATTTTAGCGCTTCTGTGTTTTAATAAATTCATGAGGAAAATTGTAAATGAACGATCACCCGCTATTTCACATGCAATAATCGTGGAATGATTCCGTTGAATAATAATCTAGAGGCCGTAATCAATAAATATTTCAATTAATTGATTAGATACTTAACAGCAACTTCACTCACCGTGGCATGGAAATGCTAGCAAAACCACAATGAAAATTTTGAGCATCTCCATCGCTGTCCAGTATGGGATTCATAAACTAAGGTGACAAAAGATAAGCTTCCATGCACAGTTGTTGCTCCAAAAATATGTTTTTTTCTAATTATATTTATTAATTGTATTTATATAACACTGATTAATTAAAAACAAATATTTTCAGTCACTTGGAATGATCAGACGCTCATGATATTCCCTTTTCAGCAATTTTTGCAGTTTGAAAAGATTTCAGGCAAGGTTCTATAAATGCCGTTATACTTTACAATGTTTGTTTGTTCATCCCTTATCGGACGTCTTTGACTAAGTGCGTAACGACTTCTTATCAATGAATTTTTGTAACTATAACCTGCAAGGTTTCATTTCTCATTAATTATATTTAGGCACCCAAGTCAAAGCTGGAAACGTGCCCATATCCGCGACCACCAGAGAACGATGCAGGAAGGGAACGCAGGCCTGGCACGTACGTCTTCACAGCACAAGATTCCAGGAGCAACTGCGACCCTCCGCACGGCGAGACCTTCGGCTCACTCGGTCCAGAGCTTGGCCTTCGCCGGTTCTTTCAGTCAAAAATAAATATATGTGTTCTTTCTCAGCTGTTTAAAATAATGCAGGAATTGAACATACAGGATTCATATTATTTTATATTCTTCTAGGATGTTGAATATCAGAGAGAAGAAGAAATACATCGTTTTAGTTTATTGAAAAATTTTAAAATGGTTCGAATGCCTAAGCTTTATAAATTAAATGTATTATAATTACAATGAAACCAAAATAAACAATAATTGGACTTCATCAATATATCTGTAGGATTATTTGCCATAATCATTAGCAATTGCGTACACCATCATCGGTAATTATTTAAATTATTCCCGTAATTTTAAAGTTATCGCTTAAAGCACAATCCCTGTCATTAAGAAAAATAGTGTGTATTGCAATGAAAAATTGAAGCACAGAACAGGTACTGTTTTTATAATTCCCATGACAATTAAATGAATTGATAAAATTCTCTTCAATAATAATAGATCAATCATAATTTACTGTCACATGTTATAAAACACTTCTAGAACATGTATAGCTTTCTACTAAATAAATTTCATAGCGCAATGTGAAGGCACAAACTTCTTGTTAATTTTTTACGTATGCTTGTTTTTTATGCGTGTAGAAAACTCACATTGTAGCAACAGATGTTTGGAGCTGAGCATTAATTTTTTCTATTGCGTGCGTCAACTCATTGTTATGACAAGAAGTCTTGTATAGTCGCCTGAATTGATTAGCTGTCACGTCGTATCGAATTACTATTTACTATTATTGACAGAGAGATAAATAATTTCCTTCAATTTGCATACGATATAAATTATATATAAGTCCATAATGAAGTCAAGCTAACATTAATACGTTAAATTCACGCACTATTTAAAGCATATCAACATTTTCCGAGAATAAAATGCCTAAAATTAGAATCGCTCGAAATATGTTACGGTAATAATAGGGACCAATCATCGATACTTCTGTGACTTATTTTTTACCGCACTAAATAAATCGGATCCATAATTAGAGAATTGAAATTTAGCTAAGCTATTTCCGATCGTTTGCCGACCTAATGACGGTTTTTCATGAAGTAAAGAAGCCTGATCGAGGGCAACCTTGATGGTTTTTGCCATGTTCGGTTGGATTTAAAACTCAATCGCAGCCATGACCGATGGAGGAATTTTCTTGACGGGTATTTTTTGCAACTTATTGTTGAAAAGTAATCAAAGATAATAAAAAAGAGGCGAGAATTTACTTTTATTCTGATTCCAAATTTTTCGTTTTTTATTTTATTGAAGTCATCCTGGTGGTGCCTTTGTTTCTGAACACATAATAAATTTTTTTTATCTCTGCATAACTACAAGAAATTTCAATAACTGGAATTAATTTTCAATTTCACAATATAAGTTATATATATATATTTTTATTAAATAATATATATTTTTTTCTAAGCTGTCAAGAACTGGTAGGGTCGTACCAGGCAAAGACCGGGCAGTAATCGCCATAATTTTCAGTTGCGGTTCAAGTGCGCCAGGCGCTGTCTGCTGTTAGAAGTCGATACGCAGACACACACGCAAAGCTCTAAAATAATTATAGTCATTGAGTCCCCTTCCATAATAGTCTAGCAATTTTAAAAAGATTTTTGTTATCATTTTCTCGGCAGATTAAGATTAAAGTAAGACCGTCAGCAGATCGTACTAAACCGCCAACATCAACGTTCCTGCTTTGGGTGAATTGATCGAGCCCACAAAAATATATGGTTTATAAATTTACAATGATGAGATTTTATTTAGATTGGCCAATTAATTTGTTACATTTCATATTTTTGTGCTTTCAATTATGCATAGCTTGCCATTTACATCGAACCGGCCTTATGGTCGATAAGTTCAAATTTTTTTACCTCTATTATCTCTCTAGGAAATTGTCTCCAGCTTGCATAAGCAGCCATTTATCCTGAAAAACTTCGATATAACTTAGTTTGGCGATTTAATCATTTCGTTTATCTATCAAGAACGTTTGCCGGTGAATATCATTCATTCTTTTTGAGGCACAATAAAAGTTGTAATATTCAGTATTCATTTTTAACAATTTTTTATGACAGCAGATAGCTGTCATAAAAAATCGTTATAAAAAATCGACAGCTAAAAAAATCGTTAGCTGTCAAAAAATATATACGCCGCATTATTTCACCCCATGTGAAATAAAGCGTAGCAGTCATAACATTATCGTTATCTATAATATTTAAACTTTTAAAATTTTCTTATTTAATTTTCGATGATTTATGGGAGCACAGCCGCACTTGCTATGATAAGTAACGGCCTCAACATTATCTCTGTTATTAAGACTATTTATTGTAAAGTTTTTACAGTCAATGACCAGAAGGCAGATTTCTTATATAATTCTACTCTACCTACAAACAATCATTCTGAAATTTTTAGCAATTCAAATTTAACTCATTATTTTGCCCTATCACCGCATTGACAGTCATGGTCAAAAACGCTACACAAATTCTTGAAAACTTATGATCTAAGCGATAAATGCCAAATGCTTAGAAACTATCATTTTAGAACTGATATGGAGATGACAGAAAATTAAAATATAGGGAAATTCAATTTTTACGAGGCGACAATTTCTTCGTTATAAAAATTACAGCCCATGATTTGCTGCCAAGTCATTGAAATAAATTCTTGTTTAAACACCAGAGCAATGTACCGCACTCGACAGTCATGTTACGGGAAGTTGTTTCGTTCGGTGATGGCAGAATAAATTCACAACAAATCATCTTCTGAATCCCTAATAAAGTACTTACTAGTTACGCTAATTTAATATTAATAAATATTTAGGTCCGTTAACGAATAATTTTTAATCTATGATCTCAGACACTTGTATTAATCCTTGTACACTTGTAGATAAGACACTTGTAAATTATCCACGATCCTTGAAATAATGCTGCTTAAATTTATTTATGTAAGCGAAAATTTTGCTACCCTGAGGACCATGCTCTTTTTGTAAGTGAATGGCCACAAAATAAGTACACTATTAAATCGTTTGTACAGCAACATGCAAATATCATACACTTTCAAAAAGATCTACATTTCCGTTTGATTATGGAATTATTACATATGCTACTTCTTATAGAACGTTTATTCCAGTCGGTAAAAAAAGGCTAGCACCAGAACAGGTCTTCAGAATCGGCCATTTAAATTGATAACAATGAGTCCAGATAGAATTCAATATTTTAGATTCAAAAATAATTATATATTTGGATGATTTTCTGTCAACTTAGCAACAACATTTTTTTAGGCGTTTTCAACGTAGGGCGTAGTTTTCAGAATCGGTCATTTAAATTGATAACAATAAGACCAGATAGAAATTCAATATTTTAGGTTAAAAAATAATTAAATTTTTTAATGATTTTCGGTCAACTTAGCAAAAACATTTTTTTATGCGTTTTCAACGTAGGGCTGCTGGATTATTCAAATAACTCAACTGCCTTAAAGGTCAAGCGTGCTCGTGAAACCGTCGTCTGTTTTGTGTGAGTGCATTCGTTATCAATGATAAAAGGACGCGTCTGCTGATCACAGAACTGGTTATGCGAAATCTTGTCTCTCTGCTCCTCGAGTTTGTCTTGTTCTTCACAAGTTCAAGCAATTAGGCTAAATTCCTGACGCACACATTTCTCCGTGTTGCGATGCCATCCAAGAACAGAGCGAGGATATTCATGTCCGTTATCGGGCACTCTGGTCAGCATTTCAGTTTTCTTACGCGAATAAATTATTTAGAATGATACAACAAACATTACGTATGATGATATGAGTGAAATAATGACATAGAAAATTATTATTTCGTGATTTCAAACGAGATAAGCTTCAAGAGGTCATGGAAGAGGTAGTTGTGTCATGCACAATTTTAAGAAGAACCTTCATAGCTGATTGAACTAACGGTAAATTATATAATGGCTGGATAAATCGTTAAAATAGCTGTAATGGTTTTACGATATTGTTGACCAAACGCTGAATTATTTTCTCGAATGAATGATGCTGGTGTTTCATTCTCTCACACGTTATCAAAAATTTATTTCCAGGGAACAGACCGGATGTGCAGCACAATATACTGTGGTGCAATATCGCCCTGACGAAAGTACAGGCAGCTTCATATAATTTATCTGTAGCCAACATTTTGTTTAAGATATTAAAACTTGAAAAATGTTGGTCTTTATAACAGAGGAGTGATTATGGGACAATAAATATGATAAATATTATTTAATTCCAGTATCGACATTTCATTTTTTCTTCTGTTTTGTTTTTTCTGTCTCTTGTAACACAGCGCGACAGTTCAACAAAAAAAAAATATAGATTATATAAGATCTTTGCGTTGGTACACAACTCGAATATTATATGTTGCTACAGAAGGCATTTGTCAACCATCTCGTATCCTGCATTAGTCTCGATAAAAAATGTGAGACTCGCTTACACTCGGGAAAAAATTGCATTCATATCATTCGACTTTTACGGCCAATTTACTTCACTCAGAATCCTCTATCAAGTTCC